GTGAGCAGCTTTTATTCACAAACAAAGTGAAAGTTACATACCAGCCTGCTTATACAAAATGTACCTACCTACCTGTATATACCTATGCTTCAAGTATATGTGTGTAAGCATAAAATAGTCAGAGAGTACATTGCTCTATATAAAAGGAAGAGCGACGGTAGAATTAAATGCGAATTATCTTGTGACTCAGCAGCAGCACGCACAGGTAAGCATTCATATGAATATACATACATACATACAAACCTGTATTGCAATATTTGGTATGTATATAAATGCTGGTGCTTCCTGCTGCGCATTAAATGGAAAAACACCTTAATCAGCGCCGTAATTGGCTTGTTTGTGCTGATGTTTTTCTTGTTTTTTTCCTTTGCTGTTCATTTTTGCTTTTGTTCAGACATTCATTGAACTATTGCAGCGGGTCAGATAGGTGACGTTGCCTGTAATGTAATTAATCCGATGATCTGTAGGAGAAATATGTAGCAGCAAGTGGTAATTATTATATGTTGGCAGTTGTAATGAGCTTGTTAGATTTGTGTGATGATATGTGTGCGGTTATGCAAATGTGCTGCAATTAAATCAATTTCACCTTAATGCATTTAGAAAAATCAAATTTATATTTTTTTCGTAATAAGAATATTTTTTATACTACCTAGATTTAATTACAATAAAAATCAAGTTAATCACGTTGAAAAGTTTTAAAATTAAGTTACTTACTATTCAAGTAGGCACCTAACGAATAGGATTAAAATTTTAATTTTCTTATTTTCGCTGATATATAGTAGCACTATAGTAGCAAACCATTGGAGTGGGGACATGACGTATACGTAACTTTCATTCAAAAACGATTTTAAAGTGTCAATGAAAAGAGATGGCTTAAATTTACTAATATTTACTAAGAAAAAAATATTATAATTTTTTTTCATATAAAACTAGTTATTTTCTTGCAATTTAATTAATAATTTTTACTAAAATATATTTTTGTTCTACTTGAGGTCAAGAATGATATATCGTACTAGAATTTTTTGTGATTTCATGTTTTTGTTTTTCGATCAAATATAACATAGAAATTATTATTTTTGTGGATTTTTATGTTTACCGATCTAAACAGACCTCGATTTTATTTTTTTGTTTTATTTTTTTTTTTAAATAAATCATAAACAATCTATATTTTTTACTAAAAACTAACTGTTATGTATTCTCAAAATGTATACTTTCCCATTGAAAACTGAAATGGTATATTAACTGGTCGGAATGTATGAGTACCAGAAGGGAAGAGATAGATACATGAAAATCTATACCGATGCGAACAGAATGAGATTTTAGGTCAAAGAGTATTCGAGAGCGTTAAATTAGGTGCTCTGCACAATTATGAAGAATTATATATTGGGAATGAAATTTATCAAAATCTGAATAATAGATTTGTTCAGATATAAAGTTTTAGGTAAAAAATCCGTTCTTTCTTGTTATGTGTATTTAAAAAAGTGCTTTTATTTGTGATTTTCGTAATATTTTTAGTTTTTTCTTTCGGTTCAAAATTATATAATTTTTTTATACAATATATATACATATCTTAACATTATACTTGAACAAAGAGCAACTCACTTAACGAAATTTTTATTAAGTTAAATATTTTTCTTTTATTAAATATTTTTTTTTTTACATTTCTTAACAGCTTTGGCGCCGAGACCAGAAAATCCAAGAATCAATCGCTGATATAATTAATTTTTGTTTTAAATTTTTCTTTAAAATTAAATCAATCTCATCCGAATTCCCCAACATTTTTCATATATCTGTACGGCATGCATAGAACGTACGAGTGCATAGGTTTTGTAAAAAATTGGTTGGTCCGTATGCGTCATAGCGTATACGCAACGTATTAATAAATGAGCATGGCAGTATTTAAATAATTTTTTTCATAAATTTACAGATATTAACAGTTCAAAATAATATTAATATTATAATATAGAAATTTTAGAATTTCTTTTTTTTTAATTAAGAAATGACATTTAAATACAAAAGAAGTAATGCTGAAATACATATAGACAAAAATACCGTGACGGCAAAACTCATTTTAATGCGATTTTAAATTGCCGATCGTAAAAGTGAATCAAATCTCAATCTACCATGTCTGGAAGGCGCGACATAAAAATTAAATGAGCACTTTTAAATTTATATGGAATTCAATGTTGTCTTTCAGCCAAAATTTAATAGCACAAAGGAGAATGAATGAATGAGTTAAAAATTCAAAAAAAATTTAATTAATAAAGTTTTAATTTCACCATAAAATTTATTTTCGTTTAAAAATTAGGCAAATCCAAACTGTTGGAAGTTATAAAAAATTAAATTGGAAATTTGCTGTCAAACGCAACCTTGTAAGCTGGACAGGATTTTCTGAAAACAAATAATAAATTCAAATTTTGTTTAAAACACTCAAAAATGCGCATATGCTGAATGTGTGTGTATGTGTATATATATATATAAAAGCCAACTGTTTAGTCTGCATTATTTATATGTAATTAACAGCATTTCAAAATTGGAATGCACAGGTAAATACACAAGAGCAAAACAAAAAATAAAAATAAATAAATAAATTTTAGAGCATTGAAAAAAACATTGGACTCTGCAGAAAGAGAATTTTATAACCAAAACAAAACGAAAAAAAGAGTTTTCGCGCACACAACAATAATGCAACAGAAGGTCAAACGCAACAAAGAATAAGCAAACAGAAATATCGAAAACTTTGAAATGCAAATATTTATTTAAGCGTATTAGAAAACAAACCGACAAGCAGAAGTGAATGCTTCAAAAATAGCAAGAAGGAAAAGAGAAAACGATTTTTTCTTAAATAAATTAAAACACATAATTTGAATTTTGTTAAAAAAATGAGCGCGATGACTGCACGGTCATCACAACTCTAAAAATAAAAGCGGAAAATATATTGAACATAAAATTAAAGAGATGCGCTATTAATATGGATATATCTTAGCTTTAAAAAATAATAAATATTTAAAAAATTTTCGACTATTTTTTGTACATTTTCGAACCAAATTTTTTTTATTGCAAATTATTTTGACTTTTTTCGACTAACTTCATAATTCCATCAGTTTAGAACTAACAATAATCAGTTGGCTGATGTAAGGCGGTGGCTGCATCAAAACTTCCCAAACAAGTTTTGTCATTTTTCGCCTGGTCATCAAAAATTAATGTGATCTGGCGCTGTCATGATGAAATACAAAACCTTTTTACAGATCAATCAGTTTCGAAAAGCTTCTTATAAGCTGCATAGTTGTTGATGGAAGAGAATTTATTGCTTCGTCAGGTTGCGAATGTTATTTGAGATATGCCACCAGTTGCAGACTTTCATTGGGCTGCTGAACGACCAGCTCGAGGTGCATTTTAGACATTCGAATAACTAAAATGGAATCGGACACACCACTTCCGGGGCTAAAAATTATTTACGACATTCTCACTGTACGGCTTTCAAATCAAAATATCTTTTCACATGAAAGTATAATAATCAAATCAGCTTTAAATTGGCTTAATTGGAATAGTGTTACCCACCATAGGAGTTGAGACTTTTTCCTTATAATTAGTTAAAGCTTGAAATAGCTAAAATCGGTTCTTTCATATTTTTCACATATTCAAATCTAAAAAAGAAGATTTGAAGAAAATTAAAATTTTCATCTAGCGAGCTATACATTTTTTTATTAATTTATCTCTGCACAAAATTGAGTTTTTAGAAACATAATTGTACAAACGATTATGTGTGTAATTGACTGTATAAAAATGATCAAATTTATATTTTCATGAATATCTCCTATTAGTTTAACTTAATACATTTTTAATATAATAAAATTTTTATATTCATTTTACAGAGCAAATCTAAACATCAGATGATTTCATTTAATGTGCGAACAGCGATTTGAGTGAATTAGTATAAAAAACCATTGGGAATAATAATAATGAAAAAGTGGCAGAGTTATGACTACTAAAATATCAGACGGCAAGCAAGTGAAATATAATAAAATATAAAAAATATATAAAAATTAAAACACTAAAATGAATTAAAATAAAACAAATTAAAGTAAGAAAAAAAATTAAAATTAAACTAAACATAATCAACTAAATTAAAATAAAATAAAACAAAGTAAAATTAAATAAAATAAATCAAAAAAAAATAAAACAAAATAAAATAAAACCAAATTTAATTAAAATAAAACAAAAAATGAAATAAAAAAAATATCATAAAACAAAATAAAATAAAATCAAATAAAACAAAATAAAATAAAATAAGATTAAATAAAATGAACAAAAAAAAAGAAATAGAAAAAAAATTAAAATTAAAGGAAATAAAAAAAAAAAAATAAAATAAAATAAAATAAAATAAAATAAAATAAAATAAAATAAAATAAAATAAAATAAAATAAAATAAAATAAAATAAAATAAAATAAGATTAAATAAAATGAACTAAAAAAAAAAGAAATAGAAAAAAAATTAAAATTAAAGGAAATAAAATAAAAACAATAAAATAAAGTAAAATTTAAGAACATAATAAAATAAAATAAAACAAATTAAAATAAGATAAAATAATATAAACCAAATATATATATATATATATATATATATATATATAAATCTAAAATAAAATGAAAGAAAACAAAATAATATAAAATAAAATAATATAAATAAAAAATTAAAATATAATAAAATCAAGTAAAATAAAATAAACCAAGAAAAAATGTAACAAAGTAACATAAAACAAATAAAATAAAGCAGAAAAAATAAATTAAAATAAAATAAAATAAAATAAAAAAGTAAAATAAATCGAAAAAATTATAAAAAGAAGTAAATGAATTAAACTAAATAAAAAAATATAAAGTGATATGAAAAAGAAACAAAAATTAATGAATGAATACAAAAGAAAAATAATGAAAAACAGGATAAAGATGTAAAGAATAAATTAAAAAAAAAATTAAATATATAGATAAAAAAACATAAATTTTATTTTTTTAAAAATAAAAGAATAAATAAAAGCGTTGAAGAGAGAAGAACATTGGAAAATTTTTCTAAAATTCAATAAAACTTGAATACTGTAAAGTAAAAGTGAAACATGAGATCACACGCAGAAAATAAAAGTGTTAAAGTAAAAAGAAATATTTATTTTACTTCCCCAATTTCAAACAAAATTTCTTTAAAAAGATGAAATTCGTGTAAAAGTAAGTGACAAGAAATATAAAATGGACCAGAAGGAGTTAAAAATACCATACATCAAGTAAATCGATAAATCTATGAAAGACTGATTTTGTTTAAATTCCCAGAATTTGTGTTGAGCACATATTTCGAAAACAAAATATACACGGAAAATTACAAAAGTGAATGAAAAACAAACACAACGATTGAATTATACAAAAAATACCATAGAAACATTTATCGCCAACGTATGAATCCCTACAATTCTGCTTGCTACAATACGATGGCACAGAAAATGTTAATGCTCATGGCAATTTTAATTGCAAACGCCTGCATAGCGGGTAAGTTTTTGAAATGTGTAATTAATTTATTGACTAATTTCCGGCAATTAATTTGTCGGAGAAATCTATTTGTATGTATGTATATAGTTTCTTATCAGTTCAAATTAATAGCGTTTTTTATTAGTTTTAAACTAATTTAAGTATTCTATTATTAAGTATTCTAAAACCGTTATTGAAATGCTTAATGGAATATTTTTAGAATTTTAGTTATTATTAATTTATTTAATGCCTAAAGACAATTTCTAATTATGAGAATAAAATGGTTTCAGTAAAATATTTCACTATAAATGCTTGCAATCAGAATCAATGATTAATTGAGTTACATTAAAGTTAATAAATTGATGAATCATAATTATGAAAATTGGTGTGTATTTTATGAGGTTAAAGAAATGAAAAAATGATTCTCTTACTTTGAGCGTCAGCAATCCGATTGTGTAAAAAATGTATTTATACGAGTATTCGAAGCCTGAGCCAAGCAAAGTGATGCTGAGTACATCGTGGGATTAGAAGAAATCTGTTCATAATGAGCTTCTGCCTCTGCTTCGATTTCTGCAAAATTTTCTTGATGATAAAAAATTGTCCGACCGAAATGCCACTGAAGTTAATGATAAACCACAGTAGTTAACTATTATTGCAGACACCAAGTTCTCCATCTGTTGTTTCCAACAACAAAGAGATTTTCTTCTTCCTCCACCAGCGTGTACTGCATGGAATACTTTGAAATAAATGTGACCTAACCAGCGTAGTCGCTGTCTCTCAATTCAGACCATAAATCTTCCGCAATATCAATCTCTCGAAGACTTCCAAAGCAGACCAATTGAATGTTGTCAATGTGGAGGCTTCTATGCGATCGAATCGATTTCTTTTACATACGGTTCAGATATCTCACTTCCGGTTTTAGGCCAAGAGCCCCCGGAGAGCCAACGAGCCCTATTTGGTAGTAAGCTAAATTCAAAAACCCCGCTTTGAGAACAATGCCAACAAGAACAACTCCTCGCAGTGATTGGAAGAGAAACAGAGGACACTCAGAAATTCTAGTGTTTTATACTTTTCTGCCAAGCTGCGCTTCTTTTATACTCTGAGAACCCTTTCTAACATAATAACGCTAATTTCAAGCAATAAAATACTGGTAAGCATGTAAATATAGCTGAGAGTAATGCAATATATGTGGAGAGCTCAAAATCTTATGGTTGAGTGAGTTTAGGAGTTTATTTACATAGCTCTCCATTAAAACTTTAATTTAAGTGCTGAATTCGAACGAATAATCAAGGAGAGGTATAAGATCCGTCATCACAATCTGACATTACTAAGATCCTTATGAACGTTTAACATGAAAATCATGCTGGGTACTGCAGATATCTTTAGAAATATCTGAAAACCTTTCGTTGGTGGGCATGGCCTCAGATATATCGAGAGAGACGAACCTACTAGAAAGCCACGATTCCTCATACTCTACGGGATAAAAAGCGCTTCCGATGCCTCTTGTCATATGTATACCACTCCTTAAATATTACATATACAGAGATGCCATGTAAAGGTTGGGAACAAAACTCTTACTGCCATGAATCAAGGAAAACTCGACTGAAATGACGTCCGTTGATGTCGTATGTATACTATTTTTGAAAAAAAGAAAATATTTCAAAAGTAATTAAAATCCTACCGTGATATCGCCTAATGGCATGGCACTTCCATCTAAACCTAAATTAAGTGAAATTTAAGCAAAAATTCTGCCATAATTTCTCTCTGCCTTCCTGGCAACATTTCAATGTTTCTCACAACCCCGTTAAGTCATGATGTTTCCTTGATGAAATTACTCACTTAGCTATTTAAAATTGAATTTTATACTTCAATCTAGTCCCCAGAGGCAAAAATCGCAGGCAGGCATTAACAAAAGCCAAAGAGAGAAAATAAGAAATAAAAAACGAGATTCAGAAGCTGTGTTCGTTGCTTCTGAGCACTGAGTTCAGTCAACCATTCAGATGTACAATCCAATGTGCCATGCTCAAATGCACAGACGTGGCATGCCAGAGATTCGTGTAAAATTCATTTTTAATTTTGGGAAAGTTTTCTTCAGCACTGCAGAATATTTGCGAAATTGTGAAGTTTATATTTTCATTGTTTTTTTTTTTACATTTATTTGTTGCAGCTTTTTGTTATTTCCCGTATAAATATGTGCAGGCTTAGAATTGTTTGCATAAGTACTATATATGTATACGCCTTTATTCAAATTTGTGTTTTTGCTTGCCTGAATTAATTATCTCTGAGTCTTACTTACTTGCTTAAAATCATGCATATGAATGTATATGTATGTGTGAATGTATTTAGGCATGGTTGCAGCTGTTTATGTGTGTAAGGAGAAAACATGGCAATAACAATAAAAATAAATAAATATTTCACTTTTATTATCTCTCAGTCGAGTTTTTGTGTACGTGTGTGCGCCCTTGCTTTTCGCTCTGCAGTCGACGCTGTGCATGCTGCCATTTTTACGTCGCTTTTAAGCTTTCAACTCACAGTGGTGTGTGTGTGTGTTCATCTTACCTTTTCATTTTCCAACACTACAGCTGACAGCTCATCCTCCACTGATCCCTTTCACTCTGACGCTTCTTGGCTTTGCAGCATTTGAAATTCTCTTGATAAAAGTGTGTGCCGCATTAAGTGTGATCAATGTGTGTGTATGTATGTGTGTGTGTTTTTTGTTTTATTCACTACACTTTGAAGCGTGCTTTATGATTTTTATTTGCACAAAATGCAGATGTGTAGAGCTTCACATTTTTTTTGTGTGAACTTAAGCTCAACTTTATTTCAAAATGTGCATAAATTCGAATTCACTCATATTCGTGAGTTAGCTTTGTGTTGGTGTGTATTTTTAATAAGTCAGGGTTTGGGCAATAGCGTCGCCATTCTCAAAATTCTCAAAAATATGTCGTTTCAATTCAGAAATTTGATTAAAAGTCCGAAGGCCATAAATCAAGTAAACTTGCCCAGAATGAGACCTGATTCTTCTTTACTGGCGTAGACACCACTTACGCGATTATAGTCGAATCAATATTAGCGTGGGATTGATTTCCTTTTCAAAGCTGTTATTTCCGCCATCCACCAGCGGGTACTGCATCGAAAGCTTTCAAATCTGGAGTATTCTTAACCATCAGAACCACATGACTTAGCTAGTGCAGCCGCTGTCTCTTGCATTGCTGAACTCTCGTTAATGTCAGACTTTACTTTTCCATTGTCTACTGAGCCCAAAATAGCTACTGTTGGCAAGAGTGAAACTCCCGCATTTGGTGCTCAAGGAGCGACAGTTTAATATGCCATGTGAACCGGCGGCATCCAAAACGAGAAAGGAGATGTCGTTACGGACAAACTCGATTGTCAAGGCGATTGATTTCAATTAAAACTGTGTTTGTGAATGTATGATTTCGATTAGATGGTGCTACGTCGAAGATTTCGTCAAAAGATGATTTAATACAATAAACAACATCTGCGGGTCTGCTGAAGTGGAATGGAATCAGATTTGAGTCAAGCAACTGGCTGCATGAATATATTCTTAGAGGCGAGCCTGAGGAAAAGAGTTGGTCGGCCTTGGGATTACTGAACCTTATTGAAATTATCTACATGATTTGCTATCAATTGGTGATAATTTAATAATACTCACTTGGAATGTATGGTTGGTTTGTATCACTGGTTCTATCGGAAGACATGGTTTCGTGGTTTTAGCACCAAATGAATAAGAAAAGATTTTCTAGAAGAGAGAAATGTTAAATTCCGGATGAATATATTTGAAATCAAAAGTTTTTTGAGATCTCCGCAAGCTGAAAATACCTAACATTGAGTTGTACAGCGCTATGCTGGAGTCAATTCTGGTGTTCACCCCAGCGCAGGAAAATACTGGCAGGAAAATCTTGATGTTGCAATATAGTTATTACAATATACAACTAGAAGTTTCTCTATTCTACTAACTCTATTTCACTCTGAGAGACGACATACTAAGGAAGCTCTCTGTGCGCCCGTGGTAGGATAGTAGAGGGTTTCCACCTAAATCGACGTAATTGAAAGGTAGAGAACAGCCTACAAAGCAACGATACGAAAGACTAGACATGACTTATAGTAAAGCTGAATGTTTTTGCAAACAGCAGACGCGGAAAAGCAACAGAAATTCTCAGAATCTAGGTCGGCAAGTTGGGGAAGCCTTCTTCGAGTTGATTATTACTTGTAGAGTATGCTTAATTCGACTTAGTATAAATCAGCCATAGCCGAGTACATCAAGCTTCTGCTCCCTACGTCCTTAGCAATATGCAAGTTCGCTAACCATATTGTGTTTATTGCTTTATCTAAAAATACACATAAAAACACATTTGCAATAAATCTTGCGAAGAAGTGTAAGAGCTCTCCGACTTTCCTCAAATGCCATCAATCATTTTGCTAATTTATTTGTAACCTGCTCAACTAGTTCGCAAAGTACAAAAAGTTATGAGTACTATTTGCCTTTGGGCATATGTAGCTCTGCACGTGCTGTGAAATATTTTAAAAAGCCTATAACGATGTGTGTAGGTAAAAGGGTGTTTCCTTTTTTTTAGACGAGTGGCTTTCAATGAGAGAGTACCTTTGTTCGGAGTTGGTCTTTTTGAGTGTACTAGCTTGATTTTTACTCCGTTCGGTTTGCCATTTCTTGGTTAACAGACTTAAATACTTTGAAGAACGATGAAAATCGTACATATTTTTATCAAACGGCGTTCCACACGCTGCGTCTAATATTCAGTCGACTTAACTGTATAGGTCCACGTTGGCCCTAGTGGGTAAAGCCCAACATCAGAGAGGCGCACTACACCCGCTTGTTCGGTGAATGGACCCAAAACGAGCTCGGCACCGATTCCTATTTTCACAAAAAAAAAAATTTTTCCAATAATGAAGCTCACTTTTGGTCGAATGGCCAGGCATTTGGTATGATTATCATCCAAAATTTTTTGTTGCGACGCCGTTACATCCATAAAAAGTCAATGTTT